ACGCATTTCTAACACGATGCTCGTGGTAACTAATGCCTGGCCTCCAGAGAATGATGAAGAGATTCCCCCTGAAACCTGTGAAGTCTTGTTTGGGTACACTAAAAGAGCACTTACTTTAGCCACAATAATGAAGCTGCTGAACAAGCGATGGAAGACATTGGACCTTCTTTCAATTATGCGAGAAGTAGGGAGGACGTTGCCTCTTAAGGCAACTCCCAAGTATGAGCTTGTTGACAAAGGAAAGGCCCGGGATGGTTATGCAGTTAATATATTTGAAAATTTGTCTTGTCTTCCATTTCTTCAGAAGACTGAACAGGTATCGTTGACAAAGGCTCCATGAACAAGATAAAGCACACCGCCTGCTTCGCGATTTCTCCATTCCTTCTCAAACTCACCTTTCTTCTCGAGCACTCGCACAATTATGCCGAAGGTTCTCGCATTGACTTACGCTTCACCTCCAATTGGTGTCCGGGGGCTGCAGATGGATTAGCCTGCGAAAACAGCCGCGTCTCTCCTCGCTCCTCACCACTAGATACACGTCTCGCGGGATGCGTCGGGGGGGGATTTGCGGGGGTCAGTGAGTTCGCCCCCAAGTGAATTTCGCTCTTTACTCTCTGAGCTCAGCGACAGAATTTCTGTACTCATGACTTAAATCAATGGAAAATTCTAAAAGTCGTCACTCCACAAAGCGCCGGGGTCGCGTGCGAAAGATGGTCGTCTACGAGAGGATCCAATCTGAGAATTTTGACTGGGAAAATTCTAAGGATCTCTCAGGGTCGTTAATATGAGTGATCTCTTTCCGGTGTTGGTCGTATACATGGAGGTTCGACTGAGCTCTTATCCCAAGAATATTCGTATCATTATCATACAACACTAAATGAGTTAACCGGCATCATCATCAATTCGTAAATAAGAAAGAGCATTGGGCCCAAAATTGAGCATTGGGCAAAACCAGTTGAACTTTCCAAAAGGTCTGACTCCGACCCGTTAACCCGGAAACAAATCGCTTTCGCTTGCCCTGGATTCCATAACCCCAAAGTTTTTCTAAAAGGATAGTTGTGACCTATCGTGTCAAATACCTTTGACTCCTGTTTAAACTACAATTCCTATGTGTTGATATCTCGATAGTGGATATAAGCAAATAAGTTGGAAAGAATATTTATTACTTCGAAACGGCGCTTTTATGGTATCGACTTGATGCTAAGGTGGTTAATCCATAGAAGTCGTCGATATCAATCAAATGTTGATCAACGCCAAATAAACTGTAGATTTCGGTAATTGATAATCAGTTACTCATGACAGGCACTTTTTGGTTTCTTTGAGCAGGATCGATTTTTATCAATTGTCAGTTGGATCGATTCGGTTTAAACAGCAATTTAACTTTCGCAAAAGCAGCCAGTTAGTATCGATTAATCGATCACCACGCTCAGCTAAACAACCATTTCGGCCTTGGTCGCCGTTGTGAATTTTTCCACCAGTAACTAACAAAAATCAATATTGAATAAATAACAATTATTCACCGAAGTGGAGGTGGCTAGTACTTGGCTTTGTTTTGGTAAACGTAGCACGCCCAATTGTTTTTTCTAGTAGCGTGCTATATGTCACGGTACGTTGGCGTTTTATAGCACACTTAGCGTGCAATTTGAGTATTACACACGCTAAACACGCTAGATTACTTACATATATAACATGCAGCAAATGACTACAAAAATGAAATTATTAATTGAACCGTGTTTCAGCTCTACGTATTTAGAGTGAGGTGAGGGGTGGAGGTGGCGCTGCACCATGGCAAGTTGTCGACAGTCTGATCTTGACAAGAATATCTTTAATTAAGACAAATGCGGAAAAATAGCAAGCAGGAATCCACACACCTTAAGAGTAATAGTTAAAATATTCTGTATTCCATGAGAATTCACAAAAAAACTTAGAAAGCTTGTTTTCTATTATTTTCCTTAAGTACGACACATAATCTGCAGTGGCGGACCCAGACCTTCCGATAAGGGGGCGCTCTTTCAGACTCTGAGATAAGGAGGGGAGCGGTCTCAAAGAAAAGAAATGTTTTTTCGGCCCTTCGGGCCTTAGTTTGGTCAAAAAATAAGGGAGGGGGGCCTTACGGGCCCCTCCCCTAGATCCGCCACTGATCTGTATACATTACCCATAGTTACTTTTCTTTATTTATGTGACATTATTCATACAGCAATCCGATTAGCTCGTTGTTTATCTCACCATTCGCTAAAACTAACTAAAAAGGTTAATTTTAATTCCGAGACATAGATGGATTAAGTTTGAGCATAACAATGACATCTACCAATTAGTATTTTATGAACAAGGAATTCGTGATTAACTTTTGCTGAGAATAAATAAACTTAAGAACTACGTTTTAACTTGGCTCCTCTCTCTGTGTTTCATTTCGCATTATTAGTGAGGAGCGACCTGCAAAACTCGGAACTGATCGTTTATGGCGATATTTGCATAAAAAATCTGAATCTTGAGTTTAAGACAAAAATGAGCGGACGAGTCCTTGTTTACATTCTTGCTCATTAGTACACGAGGTAACCAACAGAAGGCGTAATCGTATGCACAAGTTAAATTCACAAGGTGATAGAGCTGGTCAATTTTTTTTGTGCAATTTTCAGCTCTTTGCAAACAATAACAAAGAAAATAGCAGCTATCAAACACTGCGAGACGGCTGGGTGGCAAAAACGTTTATGAGCCCACACATTCTTTATTAAAGTTTTGAGTTTTAAATGATAATTTCTCCGACACTATTCGGCATATTGGGCTCATATTTTCACAGATACCTCATACGATAGATCCACCACTAGATCGAGGCTTCTAGAAATTCATCTTCATCTTCATCATCTTCCCCCTCACATTCGTAACGCTTCTTCTGTTGACTACCTTAAGTCTTTCCTTTTGCGAGACCAAGACATTAAAGATTTAATCAGTAGAAGCCACTACTATGACTAAATAACCGCTGACCATTCTTTGTGCACATATATCCCACGTGAGAGATTGCACAGAATTAGATTTAGATTTAGAATTTCTAATGTACTGGAACTACCGTATGCTTCATCTGTAGCGGTGTATCGCTAAAAATGTACGAAGACCAATGCTAAAATAAACGTTGTATCACCTTAGATACGGTAAATTGTCGTCCTTTTGCCCGAGAAGTGGTATTTTGAGCGATTTTGAACGCCTTTGGGTTCATTGTTTACTGTGTTTACTGTTCCTCTTACATATTTAGCGATATGCCGCTACAGATAAAGCAAAGGTAAATATAGTACATTTACCATAAAATTACATCGGTTACACAAACAGATTGTGTGGGCCCCCTGTGGTATCATGTGACATAAACTTACCCTGGAATAGCTGTTAATATTGAAGGACGTGCAATAGCAGGTTTTAGGCTTCCACACTTGCTAGAAAGTGTGAGATTTTACTTTGGTTGCCCTGTTGTGGTGCACGGAAGGACGGACGGTCACGTGACTACCAAATAGTTAAACAAATCCTCTTAGCCATGGGGCTCTGCTATAAGGCCTTTAGCGCGCGGTTTTAAGAAAAAGAACTTGCTTGTATCCTCGGCAGATAATGGTAAAAGGACTGAGTGGAGTACAATGCGCTCTGTAATCATACGAGTGATTAACAAAATCGGACGACCGCGTAGCGGGACTCCGATTTGTTTAATCAAGAGTATGATCACAGACCAAATTGGACGACACGAAGTTCTGTTACCGATTAATCATAATTATAAAAATAAATTATGATATTTTAGGCTTTTTTCTAATTAAAACACACGAAATTACGAGAGTTTTTTTCTGGCTGTGAAAACAAGCCATTTAAGTAGTACGCGCGTGCGATAGCGCGTACTGTTCAATTACTTAGGCATGACGCCTACTGTTCTATTACACTGTCCTATTAGTGCTGAAATCAGGACAGTTGATAGCCAACCAGATTTGAGAATTTTGTTCTCGTAATCATTAACCTTATAATAGGATCCAGTGTCCTTGAAGCAAGACACAAAAAGTGTAAAGAAATAAGCAATGATGACAAATGCATTTTAACGTTATTTACGTAGCGTTTTTTTAATTCACAACTTCTGACGCTCTTGTAAAATGCTGGAAATTAATTGGTTTCAGGGGCCGATAGTAATTGGACCCTGCTGGTGTAGACTGTGAAGCATATTGAAAGAAGCAACGCCCAAGCGCCAAAAGAATTACGGTTTGCAACTCGTTCGCGAGCGCTCTCGCGTATCACGGACTCGCTCGCTGTGAAAAGCTTGCTCGCACGCTTGTGCGATCAACGATTATTGTACTCGAAACATTTTAAAAAGTGACTGAACGATACTGACCCAGCAACTCGACCCTATATCACAATAGGTTACCAATCCCACTGACCTGTTGCTGACCATTAGTGTCGCAGCTCTAGAAGAGTCTTTGCGCGCGCAAAAGAAACTTCGCATGGTTAATTGTCTATGACATCACCTATTGTCTATGACCTCACTTTAGGGAAAAAAAACCGAAACTGAAACCTAGCGGAGAGATTTTTTAGAGCCAGTGATTTTTACCTACAAAAGAACTGTTTTGTGATCTTTAAAAGATTCCGTTGACTGAGAATGGCACAGATGTATGTGTACAGCTACGAGAAGCTAGTAGTAATATTTGTTACTAGCTGCTCGTAGCTGTACACATACCGTCTTTAAACCAAAAAAATGCTACCATATCCCAACAAGCTGCAGTGATTAATAACCTACGATAAGAGCGACAGTGGCTGGAAAAGGATAACGAGATCCAGAGAGAGGAGTTGGAAAAATCTCAAAAGAACCTCACCGATCTGAAAACATCGAGAAAGTTAAAAGAAAATAATTTGAAAAAAGAGTTACAGCAGCTAAAGGAATCGCAAGAAGATATCAAGCGGAGGCATAAGACGGCTGTCAGGGAATTACACGATGTAAAAGGAAAAAACCTCAAGCTGAAGGCTCACTGAACTTCAGTATTAGAGAAGCTGGATCAGGGAGCCCAGGAGCTTCAGCAAGACACAAAAAGAACTTGACCGAGCAAAACAGGAACTCGATTTTGGCGTACTTTGAATTGCTAAAGTACTTCCAGTGGCCCGAACCATCGTCTGGAGGAGCGACCATCACAGAGCTCGACACTCATGAAGTATCAACAATGGAGGGAAACATGCACGACCGCAGTGCTACCTCAGCGCTATAGCGTAACACGGGGAGTCCTGGTGTCATCAAAACAATCTTCGGAAGCAGCCATAGTAACTGTATTAAACGCCAACAAAATACTTGCACCTGTGAACATAGTGAAGGAAACGGGGTTAATGGAGTCCCGAACAACTCTGGTAGCGCAGAATGTCATCCAGTCAATCAGAAGGAACTTCATCTGTCCCCAAACAGCTTGCATCCTGAGCCATGTTCCCTCCCTTGACCTAACCCAATCGAGTTTCTGCTGTTCAATAATAACACCACCAGCGGGTCAATCTTTCAAGTTCCTGGCGTTCCACAATTATCAGCTCTCCACAGTGAATTGCCCAGAAGAAGACTGGGCAACCACCTGCAGCTTGCCATTGCACCCGAGTGGGTTAAGGCAGCAAACAAAAATTAATAGCTGCAGTGTTGAAAGGAAGTGGCCGAGCACCTCAAATAACGAAGATTGAGCGTTCAATTGCTACCACGTTCACTAAAACAGTGAGAGTTAACATCACCTCTTGCAACAAGCCGTTTGAATCTTCGCCAAAGAAACGTAAAGAGGAACACGAGAGAGGAAGTGACGAACCAAAAGGTGGAAATCACCAGCCGACCATTGTGTCTTCCGAGCATCGGCTCTCCCTCGTGAACAACCGTCAATTTGTAGACCTGGATGGTGAAAAGGAAGTTCCAACTCGTAAACGAACTGGAGTGAAAAACTACAGACACTGGTGAGTTTGCTCAAATATTACATAAATTATACTCTACAAAATTTAATTAGCCTAAAAAGGTTTCAGTAGATCAAGTTATATGAAAATCGTGTAAGTGTCCAGAAGTACGTTGACGCTGGGGTTAAGGGACGGGTTTGTTAAACAATTTATTTATCTGCCACCATGGTCTTATATAGATACACAAGCAACTGTTTTTATTCACAACTTGTAACTGGCTCATGCAAATGGGGTTTTGTTTTCGGTAAAGGGGGCGTATTGTGCGCATGCTCTCTCATACGGTGTCTCTTACTTAATATCTACATGTACCTCCATGTCATGGCCTTTCTACCGCTTTGCAAAGACTTCGTGACTTAAAATGACAGGTTGTTGGAAATTAAAACGCTGTTTTCTAGGACCAAAAGGGCTTAAAAAGTATCTAATCAGTAGTTTGGGGAACTCTTCGTCGTTCTTGAAGATAGCGTTTTAACAGCGTAATATTTTCGCACTAAACAATCTCCTTTGGTTATATACTTCATCTTTGCAGAAGAAAGGAGTGAACAGATTTATATCCTAGCTAGGACGCCATTCTTGTTCCAGACCGAAAATAGAAGATGGAATTATACCTATTAATTTTATTTTTCTGTATATTTCATTTATTTTTTACCGACTTTTGTGAAACATGAAACATAGGGTGTACCTTAGGTTGCACACCCATGAGTGCAGTGTAACAAAGTGTTTTCTTTACGTAGAGCTAACAAACATAACCAGCTGTACATTGCGTGGCACACCTGTAAGTGCAGAGTAACACAGTTTTTTTTTTAGGTAGAGCTAACAAACATAGGCTGTACCTTAGGCTGCACACCCATGAGTGCAGTGCAACGAAGTGTTTTCTTTAGATAGAGCTAACAACAAAGGTTGTACACCCATGAGTGCAGTGTAACAAAGTGTTTTCTTTAGGTAGAGCTAACAAACATAGGCTGTAATTTAGGTGGCACACCCATTAGTGCAGTGTAACCCAGTTTTTTCTTCAGGTAGTGCTACCAAATATAGGCTGTACTATAGGAGGCATACCTATAAGTATAGTATAACTTCCTTGGGTATAAGGGACTGGTCAAAAAGTATAGGTGGGGGTGGGCCGGAGCAGAGAGGGGGTGGGTCATGAGGTTTTGAGCCTTGTGAAAGGGGTGGGTCGTGCAATTTTCAGCTACCCTTAAGGGGAGGGTCACCCTATTTTTTACTAACTACTAACGAGACAGTTGACTATACTTGTTATATAAAACACAGCCAGCTGGAATTATCGCTAAAATACTCACAAACCTGTTGTGCGAGAAAATACAAAGGTTGACAGGCCGCACATCTATACGGGCGTGGAACCCTCTGTTAACCTTTTTTTTTTTCGGCTCTAACGAGCATGTCCTTAAACGATTTTCCTTTTTTGTAAGGAAATGATTGGTGGTTCTTTAAAAATTTATTGAAGTTATACTTGGTTTTGTATAAGATTCAATTTTTTCATTCAGGCTTTCTTTAAAGTAGACACTGATCATGAGGGCTGGTATTGTGTCACGAATGACAATATTTCTTTTTCCTCCTTGTTGTTTTGTTTTAGGAGTTTAGACTGCCTTTTATTTTTCTATCAAAGATAGGGGGGGTACACAACGAGAATATAGTTCAAAACCACTTAAACATAGCATTGTTAAACATATTTTAGTATTTAAACAGTAGATATAGGCATATTTTTATCCCCTAAACATTTTTCATCTGTTCGGATCTCCTAGCTGAAAGTCTAGTGTTACGAAAATTGTAGGGATCAAAACTTACCTTTTCGAAAATTTCAGCCAGAAAAAAGGCTCCCGAAAATTCTAGGTGACCTTTTAAAGGTAAAAATCATTTAAAAATAGGCAATTATACCATTTTTTAGATGTTCGAAAATCCTAGGAGGGGCAGACAAGCAAGAAATTTTACAACAAATGTTCCAAAAATTCTAGATCTCAAATCGTCTTCCGAACAGATATTTTCCGAAAATTGACGTTGGGTGCCCCTGAAAGATTGTTGGTAGCCTCCGTCTGTCAAGCGTTTTTTTTTAATTTGAATTATTTTCGTCAAAGGTTGCTTCTGAGGAGGCTTCTCCTTTGACAAATTCTATTTGGAGGGTGACACGAGGTGAAATGTGTGTGCAAGAAGCTTTCCGTCTGTTTAAAATGTGTCTTTACATCAAGGATAGGTTTTTCCTTGAATCTTGTGCCTTTGTATACAACCGTGTCTAAAAACGCAGTCTCAGTGTCAAATGTTTCGGCCGTGAATTCAATAGTTGGGTGATGTACACTTGCTTGTTCAATGAAGGCTGCGATGTCTCGTTTACTCATGTCCCATAGGGAAAAGATATCGTGTATGTGGCATTTCCAAACTGTTGTTCTAAAGACAGTTTTGCTTAGAGTTGTTGTTTCAATATATGTCATGAAAATATTGGCAAAGGAATCAAAACTGCTGTCTTTGTGCCCATTGCAGTTCCATGGTTTTGTAGGTAGTGCTTTTCACGGAAGAGGAAGAAATTTTCTTTGAGGATTAATCTAAGCATTTCCGGGAAGTAATGTGTAGGAATGGGTTGTCTTTGTTGAAATTTTCATATGCTTTGTGACAGATAATCTCAATATACCCTCGTTTTGCTGTATATTTGTGTCAAGACTCATAACGTCCATTGAAACAAGAAATGTTCGGTTTTTCACATTAGTCTTTTCAGTGAAAGGTATGATTTCTGTGATTTTGACGTGGTTGTAGCAGTGTATCAACAATTTTTGTCAAGCACAGAACAAGGTTTTATTGAATTATTAAAAGGAAACCGAACGTCCATGTTTTAACTAGGGGGTGGGTCATGCAATTTCCAACCTTGCCTTAGGGGTGGGTCAGTCATTTTTGTGCCGAAGGGAGGGGGTGGGTCATGTGTTTTTTATCAAACAACCCCCCCCCCCCTATACTTTTTGACCAGCGCCTAACTAACAAACAAGTTATATTTTAGGTGGCACACCCATGAGTGCAGTATAAAACAATGTTTTCTTTAGGTAGAGCTAACAAACGTAGGCTGTAATTTAATTGGCACACCCGTGAGTGAAGTGTAACCCAATGTTTTGAATAGGTAGAGCTAACAAACATAGGCTGTAATTTAGGTGGCACACTCATGAGTGCAGTGTAACCCAATGTTTTCTTTAGGTAGAGCTAACAAACATAGGCTCCATACTATAGGTGGCATACCCACTAGTGCAGCGTAACCCAATGTTTTAAGTAGAGCTAACAAACATAGGCTGTAATTTAGGTCGCACATCCATGAATGCAGTGTAACCCAATGTTTTGAACAGGTAGAGTTAACAAACATAGGCTGTGATTTAGATGGCACACCCATTAGTGCAGTGTAACCCAATGTTTTCTTCAGGTAGAGCTAACAAACATAGGCTGTCATTTAGGTGGCACACTCATGAGTGCAGTGTAACCCAATGTTTTCTTTAGGTAGAGCTAATAACAAACATAGGCTCCATACTATAGGTGGCATACCCACTAGTGCAGTGTAACCCAATTTTTTCTTTAGTTAGAGCTAACAAACATAGGCTGTAATTTAGGTGCACACTCACGAGTCCAGTGTAACCCAATCTTTTGAATAGGTAGAGCTAACAAACATAGGCTGTAATTTAGGTGGCACACCCATGAGTGCAATGTAACCCAATGTTTTCTTTAGGTAGAGCTAACAAACATAGGCTGTAATTTAGGTGGCACACCCATTAGTGCAGTGTAACCCAGTTTTTTCTTCAGGTAGTGCTAACAAATAATTATAGGCTGTACTATAGGAGGCATACCTATAAGTATAGTATAACTTCCTTGGGTATAACTAACAAAGAAGTTATATTTTAGGTGGCACACCCATGAGTGCAGTATAAAACAATGTTTTCTTTAGGTAGAGCTAACAAACGTAGGCTGTAATTTAATTGGCACACCCGTGAGTGAAGTGTAACCCAATGTTTTGAATAGGTAGACCTAACAAACATAGGCTGTAATTTAGGTGGCACACTCATGAGTGCAGTGTAACCCAATGTTTTCTTTAGGTAGAGCTAACAAACATAGGCTCCATACTATAGGTGGCATACCCACTAGTGCAGCGTAACCCAATGTTTTAAGTAGAGCTAACAAACATAGGCTGTAATTTAGGTCGCACATCCATGAATGTAGTGTAACCCAATGTTTTGAACAGGTAGAGTTAACAAACATAGGCTGTGATTTAGATGGCACACCCATTAGTGCAGTGTAACCCAATGTTTTCTTCAGGTAGAGCTAACAAACATAGGCTGTAATTTAGGTGGCACACTCATGAGTGCAGTGTAACCCAATGTTTTCTTTAGGTAGAGCTAATAACAAACATAGGCTCCATACTATAGGTGGCATACCCACTAGTGCAGTGTAACCCAATGTTTTCTGTAGTTAGAGCTAACAAACATAGGCTGTAATTTAGGTGCACACTCATGAGTCCAGTGTAACCCAATCTTTTGAATAGGTAGAGCTAACAAACATAGGCTGTAATTTAGGTGGCACACCCATGAGTGCAATGTAACCCAATGTTTTCTTTAGGTAGAGCTAACAAACATAGGCTGTAATTTAGGTGGCACACCCATTAGTGCAGTGTAACCCAGTTTTTTCTTCAGGTAGTGCTAACAAATATAGGCTGTACTATAGGAGGCATACCTATAAGTATAGTATAACTTCCTTGGGTATAACTAACAAACAAGTTATATTTTAGGTGGCACACCCATGAGTGCAGTATAAAACAATGTTTTCTTTAGGTAGAGCTAACAAACGTAGGCTGTAATTTAATTGGCACACCCGTGAGTGAAGTGTAACCCAATGTTTTGAATAGGTAGAGCTAACAAACATAGGCTGTAATTTAGGTGGCACACTCATGAGTGCAATGTAACCCAATGTTTTCTTTAGGTAGAGCTAACAAACATAGGCTACATACTATAGATGGCATACCCATGAGTGCAGTGT